GAAAGAGTGAAGCACTTGCCTGTGTATTGACACTTCAGAAACATCAAAAATTCAAGAACTGGAGTGTAAAGGGATTTTTCTTAAATCAAGGAGCTAGCTATCTCATTCAATTATCTATATCTTAGGACAAGAGGAAGTTGTGCTGGGGGAGGTTCAGGTTAGGTATTAGGAAAATTCCTAATTGAGAGCGGTGAACCATTGGAATAGGCTGCCCAAGGAAGTGATGGAGTCACTGTCCCTGGCAGTGTTCAGGAAACGTGTAGATGGGGCACTTACTTAGGGACACAGTTTAGCAGGCACGGTGATGATGGGCTTACAGCTGGACTTAATGATCTTGCAGATCTTTTCCAACCATAATAATTCTATCAGAAGCAGATAGCATTTTAAGTTCCTGGAATAAATGGAATAGTCTGAGGTAATACTGGCATTAGAAACCCGAGTTTGGGGGTTTGTTAAACTGAGAAAGTCAGTCAAAAATGTCTGCCACTAAATTGGACCTGAGTAATCATTTTTCATTCTAATCTTTTTTTAAGATGCAGCTTTTTTTTTTAAAATGCAGCTTTTTTTTTATCTTCCAGCAAAAAAAAAATATTCTTTAAAATTATGAAAAAAAAGGACAAATGAATGGCATTAAATTCACCTTTAAAAAGGTGATATACTGGAAACCATGGAAGAATAGCTCCTGTCTTTCCAAGGCCATTTCTTACCTTATGATAACGTGCTACTAACTTCCCTTCCGAGTCAAAGACAACATCCGTGTTGTACTGGTAGCGACCGTCGCTGGGGCACCCCGGGTCACTGGAGTTACACAGCTTCTTGTCGCCCACGTTTGCCGCCACATAGATAGAGTTATTCCTGGCCATGCAGCTGAGTCGTTCCAGCACTGGAGCAGGAGCAAACCTAATATTTGTAGACAAAAGAAAAGAAAACAGAAAGGATGAACAGGCTGGTGTGTGGAGAGCGCCTTGGTACAGAGAGCTGAGGGGGCTGCAGCCCTCCCGCAGCTTCTTCCCACCCTTGCAGCAGGCACCGGAGCCCTCCCACCAGCACCCAGGGGAAAATGCCCCAGGAGGCTCTCGGGATGCCTCTGAACTGCTCCGGGAATATACTTGCTATGTGCAGGGCACTGTACTTGTCATCCCCCTGCTGAAACGTGGCGCTCGAATGACTGATCGTGCGTCAGAGCAAGGAGACCCAGCACGGGAGGATCTTAACTGTGAAAAACTAACATTTGGAGTTTCTTGGTTTGCATCACTCAGAGATTTCGAGATTTGGACTTCGGCTAATGAAGACATCATTCAGTTATGGGAAAGTAGTTTTCCACTGAAATGGTTGTATGCTTTTACTTGTGCATAGCTTTTCCAGCAATGAGTACAAAGCAAAATAAGTAAAAGCTTGTGCAGAAAAAAAAAAAAAAAAAAAACAGTAAATAAATAACCAAAAACTTTTGTTAGAAGATTTTAAGTTAGCTGTAGTTTAAACAGTGTGGAAACAAAATGAAAGCATAATGCGTAGTGGTATATTCTGGCAAGGCAGATTTTCTAAATACAAAGAGGAAGTTCTTGTTACACTTCACAACCCAAGTTTCATATATTATTCACGGATTTTTTCTTTATAGTGTTTTCTTTGTTTTACCTTGATATCATATTATGCAATTCTTATTGAAACTTTTTAATTCTTTTAAGATTAAGGTAAGTCCTACACAGTTATTGAGAGCAGCTGACTTGGCTGTGAGACATTAGTTTGGAACCACATAAATCACCTTTTGGGATCAGTGCAGGGAATCCAGTTGACCTCCGGGTCAGGAATATCCTCCAGGTAGGGGTAGATGTTTTCTCTGGTGAAGCGCCAGCCATAAATGCCGTCTTCAGGAGTCACAATGATGTGGGCACCCTGGCAGGACAGGCTCCGTTAAGGCGTCACCAGCGCTCAGGGAACCAGGGGAATCAGCAGAAGGGGAAGCACAAACTGACAGCGCTGCTAGGACATGGAGTACCTGCCGGGCGGCTTCCTGGATGGCCCTTTCCAAGACGTCCATGTTCTTGTCCATGAGTGCCAGCGCGTCCTCGGCAGAGGGAGGCTGGATGGCGGCTGGTGGCAGGATCACCGCGTGCTCGTACACGGCCGCCGTGAAGCGCTCCGAGGCGGCGGCCTGGAGCACGAGGAGGGCAGCGACCACGGCCTGGGCCAGCGGCTGCAAAGCGAGCATGGCTGGGGCCTTGTTGTCCCTAGGAAAAGTCACAAAAACACAGAAACGCAGGAAAGGAACACACATAAAGGAAAAATGTAAAGTTTAGCTTAAAGAAAGGTCAAAGTGCCAATCTGTTAAAGCTTTGGCTACCTCTGTGGTGGCAAACAGGAAAATACATCACACGGTAAGGATATCGCAGCTCAAGATACTTGAAAACCGGCTATTAAATAGGCAGTCACAAAACTGCTGGAAATTCCCCCCTTGTGTCAATACAGAAAGAAGTTATCAAACATGTGACTAGAAAGAGTGGTCCAAATTCTGTTTTCATGTTTTCCTCTGCCAACAATTTCAATACGCTTTTACAATGTGCTTTTTTTTTTTAATAGACATTGAGATAAATTTTTATGGTGTGTTTTGGCACAGCAATGTTGGATTTACCACCCCTGAAGTGCATGTTTTATGAAGTTTGAATGGCAAAAATGAGGACCCTAAGAACCATTTCCTTTAATCCAGTGTCTTTAAGTTCCTCACCTCTGAGCTATATGGCGCTGTTTGTAGCTTGCTTCCCAGAGTTTCTTTAGACCAAAGTCATTATGTTTTCCCATTGTATTTAGATGAAATCTACTTAATGTGCCACTGACAGAACTGTCCCCTGCTTTTATTCCACTGACTTTCAGAATAAAAATTAAAACACAACAAAATTTTTCCAAAACTGATAAAAAAGGACCTCAAAAAAGTCAGTCAGTTAAGCCAACTCTTAAAGAATAATTAAAAAAGAGAGAGAGAGAGAGAAAAATGAATACGTGTATATTTTGAAATCCTTCATCTCTCAGTGCTTATATGAAGTGATCTAATTCCAGGAGGAAGAGTTAAGCTTTGGCTTCATTTTCACTGAAATACGTAATAAGACAGGGGCAACTAAACTGTAAAGTAGCTCTAAGTATTACTTGAGGATACCTGGCTATATGAAGAGGCCAAAGTCTAGCTTTTCTTTGCTGTACATTACTTTTCAGCAGCATTTCACAGAAGATATGCACATGGAGGGTGCCTTTTCCCCCCAGTCAGGCACGTAAGCCGCCAGCCTGTTTGCTAGGTAGCTTCTTGCCCGGGTGCCACTCGCCCGAGCGGGAGGCTGAGCTGCTCCCACAGGAGCACAGGAGATGGAGCACAGACGGGGAAGGAGGTGGCAGTGCTGGGCGCAATCCTGCCTGCCAAACCGAAAGGTCACCCAGTACACAGGAAATAACTCACGTTTAAAAAAAAAAAGAAAAAAATCTGCAGAATAAACCCTTATGAAATTGCCAGGCTATAGGTAGTTTATGGAGACTTTAGCCAAGAGCTCCTGCTATTTTTCACACTCCTCCCATTCTGTTCTTTTCCCTCACTCCTGTGCTCCTTTGGCTGCTGCTTGAAGATGAGGGTTTTCTTAGGACTTACTTGTGCAGAACAGGACACAACTCGGCGTTCAATCAGCCTAGCTGCAGCAGTGGCCTGTCTTCCAGC